TTTCCGAATAAAATGTGGTCAGCGAGGTAAGCCGAAGGTGGTGCATGCCAAAAGGCTTTGGGGTTATCACGGTCCAGGACATTTCAGTTGGAATGAAATGAACAACAGAACAAATGATGCTGCTGAAGACGTCTCACCTGAAAAAGCCACTGTCGAAGAAGAAACACTACCCGGTTTTGACAGGGAAAACAGTGAAGCCGTTAATGAAGTTACTACCAGTAATGTGACTGCTACCGATAATGGGACATTTCCTGATGGAGCAGATGAATACCATGTGAAGCAGAAGCCAATGAGATGGAGACCAGTACGAAAGAAGAAACGTCCTGTAAAATTAAGAGACTTTGTTGTATTTTAATTTTGTGTTTGTAAATTCTGTACATTTAATTAAATTATTGTTAATTATCTATTGGGTTACTGTAAGTGGTTATTGTTTGGGAGGAACAATACTAAGGAGGGGGCAGTGTTAAGACAGCGGAAGTCACGTGATGTTTGTGGCATGTTTGGCGCTGGTAGCATACGTGAAATTTCTTGAAAGATCATGAATTTCCTAGTGCATTTGAGACGCCCTCTTTTTTTAGTACATAAGCTTGGCAGAGAAAGCCTGCGGGATGACTGAATGAAGAGAGTTCCAGGTTATTACGATTCTGTTTCAAGTTAGTGTGTGTTTTGTTATCAAGATTGTGAAATTACTGTATGCTAAAAGTTTGTATTGAAGAAAATAAACTGGTTTAACCATGAAAGAACTTGTATCGCTGAAGTTTCTCAGAAAGAATTTCTACCAGAAATTAACAGACAAGCAGATACGTAACAGTATGCTTTACTTCTATGAGCATTCCTATACTTAACAAACTGTTGAGAGAGGTAGAAAATACACTGTGAACACAAAATTGAAGTCTGTCTTACTTTTGTGTACATATACATGTGCTTACCATACTGGTGAGAGTGGTCAGGAATCCACCTTGAGGTTCTTCTTCTTCTTGAGAAAATTTCCTGAAATGTTTTGAAATAAATTTTACTCTTCAATGTTAACATAAGCTGCAGTTTTCCTAACCATTAAGAAGCTTTGCATTCTACAAAATTATTAACTTTCTAGGCAAAGTGATAGTATGTTGTTTTTTCAATATTGGTGTAACATTTATACTGTGCTACTGGAATTAATAAATAATTGTAATGATATATTAAAAAAATACCAATATAAAATTTACTCTTAACCTTTAACACCCCTTTTACAAGAAAGTGTATATTTTTGAATGTCTATGTGTTTATTTCTTTGAATCTGCTGGGACATTTATTGGTTAATAAATGAGTGGAATAAAAACGTTAGTGATTAAAATCCCTATATCCACATTTTTTTATCAAATGCCATTTCTAATTTTTTAAAACAATAGCTATGAAAACAAGTAATACCCATCAAAAATTACATGCCTCTTTGGAAGGGTACATAATATGTATTGAAGTAATTTAAGCTACATATATTATTATATGGTGATAAAAAAAAGATCATTTAGGGTAGCCTACAACATTATTTGAACTTGAGTGCTCATAAAGAGTAATTTTCCTAGTGCTTAGTTGCAATCTGATACAAATAAAAGCATGAAAGATATTGAGAGATATAATAAGATTGTGAAATTCACATGTAAGGCAATATATGAATCATATGCTACTGTTTACCCTATTTATCTTATGGATTCTTGTAGTGCACAAGTGGAAAATAAAATGTGGAAACAAGATACATATTTAGTAATCAGACTGACAAAATTGAAAGCATTTCTTCCTGCTTCTGCAAGACATCCCACGCAAAGAAAGTTGCATGCTTGTTGCCTTAGGAGGAAATTAATGGGTATGTAAAAAAAAAGTTGACTAAAACATACAGCAAGGCTTTTGATGTATATAAAGTGGTTCTGTGATTGATAATAAAAGGTTGTGAGATGTAACCCAAAAATTCCATTAAGACAGCCATGGAATTCACATTAACACCATAGAACATTCAACTAATGTCATGGGTGAGTAAAAGGTAATATATAGATGACAAAGAAATTACTCATTCACAATTTACAAGAAAGCGTGTTCCTGAACATACATGAAAATTGTGTAGCAAAAAAAACGAATGATGATACTATCAGGGCAACTTCGTTTAGCTAGTCAACAAACGAGATGTCATGGCCTTTACTTTACTTTACTGTGTCATGAAAAATTCATTCATTTGCAATCTGTCTGTTAAAATTCATATTCTGTGCTTCATGTACAATTTTATTTTTTGTCAACACCAAATGGCAGCTGTTATTCTGCCCAACACATGAACCTGCCATCGTTTCGAATTGCAAAGCATCAGATGCTAGAAGCCATACATGGCACAGTGGTTTGGATACCAATCTTTTATAGATATATGCTTGTCATACTGTTTTCATGAACTCACAAGTTTTTCTTTTGTTTAAGGATATCATGTGAAGGTCCATGTCATATGTTGTATCCAAAATACTAATTATTAAATCAAAAGTTATTGTTAGCCAATATTCCAGTGGGATTATCCACTATTTTGGCTACTCTCTTGTCACCGAAAATCATTGCCTTAACTCTTTCAACACGGGCTCGATCCCATGGACCGACCTTGTAACCCTTTTGTGCTTGTTATAGATTTCATTCTATAACTTTTGTAAGTGAATGTTAACGAAATTTGGCAAATTTTGATAGTACTAAATGAGACAATTGATGAGGCATACATAGTTCTATATTACAAAATGTAATTTAGTCCAGAACTTTTGCAAAAAAGGGGTGAGTTGGCGGTGCTAAGGTGTACACGTTGCAAAAATATATCAATAAAGGTGATGAACTGGAAGATCTTTTAGTTGCTTGCTACAGTCATATCTCCTCAGACAACACTAAGGAGAACTGAATTGCTGTTTTCTCCATTATTAAAGTAATTGTACTGCCCCCTTTAACAAATTTTATACATGTCAAACATGTAACTCTCCAAAGCACTTTGTCTGATGTTACCGAAATTCAGATTGTTTAGTTTATTACATATCAACAAGAACTCTCTGATCAAGACTAAGCAATTTATACACACTCAGATGCAAGGTGGGTAACAAAAATTATTAACACATACAACTAGTAACCAAGCTTCAATAACACAGTGGCATTTCAAATACTGATGTCAAAATGTTTATTCTTGATAAAGAAAGGATTTCCAAGTTTCAAGCAGCACATGCAAGAGAGTTCAATTTATGCAAAAAGAAATACTGGTCAGTATAAAAAAGCTATTTTTGATACAAATGGTCAATATCTATCTATCTATTTATATACACATATACCAGTGAAAGTGCCCAGCTTGGGTTATTAGGTTGATATATTCTAGATGACTATGTCAGTGTGTGTATTCTGAACCTATTTTAATATAAATGTATAACCTACATACTTTTCTTGCTAAGCAACATCACATAAAAGCCATTGTTGGAACATATTATTACAAAACACACTGGTTTTTCTAAATATTGGAAGTTGTTATATAAGGAACTACTTCTTTTCTATGTGGTTTTTTGCTAGTTTGTCTCATGAAAATATGCACAGTGGTGGCTCTCCTGCATGCAGTGGTGCGAAGCTAGAATGCAAGTATTTTCTCATTCAGGTACTTTAGAATTCATGTCTTGTAAACTCCACAGTGGGTGTCTGAGCCTTGGTGCTCAGGTGCAGGAGTAACTGTGTTTGGTAATCTGCTCCATGTGGTTGAAGATGATACAGCTGTGTGTCCCTACCAAATCTGTCTCCCCATGAGGGCCAATCGGCTGCTAGGCTTTTAACCCTTTAACAAGACACGATTTTTAACAGAATGGTGGCAATGGAAAGTGGAACCTGCTAAGGAGTGTGTTACAACTCACCTGCCAATTCAACTAGCCCTGAAAATAGATGGTGCTTGAGTATCTAGCCTACATTCTGCTGCCAAAGCAGAGATAGAGAATTATGCTGCAGCAAAAAAGGTTGGGAAACACTGTACTAAGCTATTTACAGATAGGTGGTCACAGTTTTGTACAGAAGTCCAAAATTCAGCAGTTATCCAGCATCCAGCGTCTATCGTAAGTTCCATTTTTACAACACCTCATACCTCTTTGCAGACTTTATCAAGCTTTTCAGTGATCAATTTGTCTGACAGAAGTTTATATTTTCATTCTGCTGTACTCGAGTTTAAAGGCTTTTGTGTTACAGTATATAAAGGATGGAAGTCTTTTAATACAACAATAAAGGACTGCTTTGTTCAGCTGCAAAGAATGTTGACATGTAAATAGCAATGCAACTGAACTTGGAAACATTGATGGGAGTACCGGGAAGAATTGTCTTTTCTTTTTAAGGGCTTTGCTTCCTGGAATGGGCTCACCCAGAGATAGTAATGCTGTATCCATAAAGCACCGTGACTCATGCGGTGTCCAGAGCACTCCCATTGGCCCTTGAAAATCCAAGGAAGAGAGTGTGATTTTTGTGCCAGACTGTATCCATATCCACATCAGGTTTCCAAGGTGAACAATCTCTAGTTGACAGAATAATGTAGGTAAGTGAAGTGAGCAAAATGGATCTGTAACAATGGGACATGGATTGGCTCCAAGGGCTGAGTCTAGTCAGGCTGAAGTCTGACACAGTATGGTACTGCACCGGGACTGGGTGAGGCTGGCCTTCTATGGCTCAGTCAAGCCTGGACCAACGTCAGGACCTTCCTGTGAAAGGCCTTAGCTGTGCAGTGTGCCTGAATCCCATCTGGCATGACTGTTTCGGCCAGCAACTAACAGTTGACTCAAAACTGGCATGGGCAGGTGGAAGAAGATGCAGTCAAAAAAGGTTTTGTAAGTTTAAAACCAGGAAAACCTGTAAATAAGGAGTCAGCTAGCAATTATCGTGATGATAAACAGCATCTCAGGAAACATAAAGCAATTTTAAGTAAGTAAAAAGACATCCCTTCTAAATTAATTGTGGTACATCAACAAGATTGAGATCATGGGAAAGAAGAAAGTGTCAATGTTTCTTCTGATACAGACTCTGAACTTTCATATCTATCAGAACTATCAGCCAATCCTAAATAGTGCTCCGTTTCTCAAGATTCAGTGGCTCTTAATCATGAACACACTAAAGATTTTTTTTTGGATAGATGATAACACAAACAACTCTAGATAATCTTGTTGATCTTAGTTCATGAACTACTGACTATAGAATAACAATCTGTTACAAAAATAATAACTTTATTTAAAATCAGGATCCAAATATTGGCTTGGAAAATTTGTTCAGTGATGAATTCAATCGGATTCCCTCTGATTTGAACAATATTCGTATTGGTGAAACACACACTGAATAATTTAAATAGTTAAAAGATGAAAATTTAATCTGTATTAAAAAAAAAGTAAAAACAGAACGGGTAGTCTAGTATTGAGATAAAAATGTTTTTCAAAAAGTAGATGGAAAATCCTGTAAAACCAGTGTTTACTAATGCCATTATTAAATTAATTTACACTGTCTTCTAATAAATGTGTTAGTATGACTTCAGATGTTTCAGAAATCAACATACATACATCAGTTTGGGCAAGTTTAAAATGCTATTGCTTAAAAACTGCTAATCTATTAGATGTTGTCAACTATTTTTATTGAAATTGCTAAGCATTGGTGTTGAAAAAAATGTTTAAAATTGTAAAGGAAAACAAAATTATTTGGGGAACATTCTAACGAAACCCTAACCACAATCTTTCCTCCCTTTACTTGAATGATTAAATCACACTGTAGTTATAATTGTTTGTTATCTGTTTCTACACATTAATTCTCTGCTACATGTATAAAGAGAGTAAATAATTAATACAAAAAGTATTTATTTGTATGCAGTGTTAAAAATTAATACCTGTTGAATTCTGACAGTGCCACTGACACCACTTGTCCGTACCCCTGAAATATTGTAAAGACAAACAAATAAAAAAACAGAAAGCATTTCTTGTAGAAACCAAATTTGAAAAAAACTTGAAATAGTTTCAACAATTAAGTATATATCACTGTTCATTACATGTATCTTCATGAGATTTAATCTGCAAGCAAACTATGTAATGAACGTGGCCACTTTCTTATATTTAAAACACAGTTATTACATCTCCATACATAGTCTTTATAATTTCTACTGATTAAATGAAATCAAATTTATAAATACTATGTTGTTAGAGCTAGTTACAAATACTTATAATACATACAAATACGTAAAATATTTATGTATACTTATACATACAGTGAATGGAGAATATAAGTTGATGGGTATTTGAATTTTAACTTACATTCAGGGCTACTTCATTATCTACAATGGATAACTTCACAATGTATGGATTGGCTGTCTAGAAAAAAAAAACTGCATTTAATCAAACTGCAACAAAGCACAGACATTCTGCATCATGCAGTCTATAACTGTATATCTTTAATTGTTTTTTATAAATAAGCTGAGGTTTCATAAGATAGTAATTTTAATCTCTCAACAGCTTCTTAAATCTCAGCAGAAGAGTTTGACCAAAAAACAAAATGTTTGTCAACTAGAATACTTTTATAGCTGTTAGGGTTCAGATTAGCTACTGACAGAAAATTAGCAGCAGCCAAATCACAAAATTCAGTAGCCAAAAGTAACATAACACGAGGACAGTGCAAATTTTCAAACTATTTATACAATAATCATGATTTTTAAATCTTTTGTATTACTCAATAATATATCTACAAAAAAAAAGACCATAGAAACAATAAAAAATAACTGTTTAAATTGTCTGATTATGATAGTTTGTAAATGCAATCTTTAGTAAAATCCAAATACAATACAAATGATGATCTGATTACTCATAATATAATGTTGAGTCTGATAAATTCTAACTCAAAATGTTGTTTGATGCCATTTAGGGCACCATATTGTTTAGTTCACAATATCAGTTGTATATACTAAAACTGTTGTTTATCTCACTTAAATTATCTAGATTGGTGTTGATGTTGCCTAAGCTTGATGTTCAATCTCCATTATATTTATTTCATCACAATCTTTTCCATTATCCACAATGGCAAAAAAAGAAAATATTTTGCTTAGGCCAAAAAATACATTTAATTCAAATGGTGGATTTTTAATCTCATCCATGATTAACACAATGAAGTAGTAGATATTCATAAAAGTTTTATCTTATTTTCTACAATAAATTATTTTGTTTAATTACTACAAAAAAAAACACATAAAACTGAGTTTACACTATCTGGCATATTACTCAAATCTTAAAGACAAACTTAACATATCCACAATAGCTGGTATACAAACCATTCTTCACAAATCTGTTTTCAGCATTTAGGTCATAAAATGCAAGTATTTCCATTTTTATCTTTCGGAAAACTAGACATTTTATACATTTCCTCTAAACCTAGAATTGCTAAAATACAAATAAATTTATCATTTATATTAACCCTATTGCTATAGGTTTTTCCTATGGTCAGGGTTCAAAGGACATGTCATCACGTTTGTAGACGTACAAACATTTTATTGAACTACTTTTTTTATGAATGTATGTCAATAAGTTTAATATCAAATTGTAGATTATAATTAAAATTTTAATATTATACGTTATTAGTTTCTTAAGTTAAATATTAAAAAGAAATCCTAAATATCGATTTTTATGTGTCACATGGTATGTTGAATGCACCTTTGGTTCAAATTAGATGTTTGTCCAAAGACAAAGTCGATAGTTTCTTACGAATTAGAAACTCAAATTACTGATGTTGAGAAGCTAGAATATAAAATAAGAACTTCCTACCTTTTCTATTTTCTGAGATATTATTATATTCAGAGAATCAACCAAGGTGGCCTCACCCACTTCTTCCTATTTTGGAAATACTTATTTACACACACCTACTTCGCTCTAAGACATGTGTATAACCCATTGAAAGCTTAGAATGTCTCCCACATGGTTTTCTCAGCCTTTGCAAAGTATTTATATGAGAAAACCTTCCTTTTCATGGTAGAATTGAAGCAGAAATATAAGAGATAATGGAGCTCAAAATATCATTTTTTTAGACCCAGATACAGCTTAGTTCCTAAGCCTGATACAGTATAGGGGAATTCTGTGGTATTGATATAGTAATTTATGATTTTTTGTTATTTCAAAATGCATATATAAAACCTAAAAAAAATATTTTGTTTTACATCCTCCACATGCAAAACTTGACAAGGTTTAGCAAATTATGGCAAGCAAGTGTAAACTTCGTAAGTAGAAGAGATCACTGTTTTCTATATTCTTCATTTGCTGTTCTATGTTTTAAGAAAAATAACTGAAATTTAAGAACTATTTTTAAATAGGAATAACACATATACAGATGTATTATAACTGAAATGTGACTGTAATTTACAAAATTCTGTCCACTAGAACAAAGCCAAGACAGGTCATTTGTAAAGGCCAGTTTTATACTATTGGATACAGTAATGAGTGCTATACGCCTCATCATTGCAACTTTGTAATGTTAGTCAGACACAGTCAAAATGCCAATAAGATAAAAAAAAATAATATATATATGGATGTATAATACTATGAGATTTAAGCTATTTAGACTAAACATTTGTGGTTTCTTGCTATAATCTGTCATCATTGTAGAAAGAAAAAAGCATAATTTATATCTATTTCCTAATTTTTTTATTTTGGTAACGAGGTTGGTCAAATTGACAAAACCCATACAAAGATACAGTAGTGAAGATAGCAGATAAAAAATATTTTTTTTCTAAAAAACAACGTTTGATAATAACCTGGAGGTTATAAAGATTTTGCATGTTCAATTTGACAATTTTCTGATGCATAAAAGTATTTTTAATCTTAAAATTAAAATTATTTTGTATGTTGGACAGTCAACATTCAAAAAGAGAAAATACATGAGCAAATCATTACTTAAAAAATCTTAAAAAGTAACAAAAAAATCTGATATTTTGTATACAAAAGCCTCATAATGTTTTATTTTTTACTGATAATCTGCAAAATGTTGTGAAGACATGCATATTGTATTAAAAGTTATCGTATGAAAACTATAACAAGCACAAAATAGTTGTGAGATCTGTCCCTGGGACCAAGCATGTAGTGAGAGAGTTAACCAACAAAGAAACTTATGTCTGAAACTGAATTCAAAATTAGGAAGTTTATACCAGAGGCCTAAGAGAGAGAATATCGACTTTATGAATTCAAATGATATATTTATTCTATAATTACTCAAGAACAGTTTTCTATGTGGAATATTGAAATACAGCATTTCAGATATAAAACCCTTTATTTCTTTTCCTCGCTTTCGTATGTTTATTGGGGTTTATCTTATACACATTTTTAAAGCTTGCTTATGATTTGCTGAGAACATTATTCAACATTATGGTTTAGATCAACACATCCACACAAACTGGTTGTGTAATACTTTTACACTGTTATTACTTCAGATAATTTTGTAAATGTAAAAGGATTTTGTATAAATTTAGCATTTTGTTTTCAAACTGAGATTAGGAAGTTTTTGAATAGGAAAGCTGAAATGTTCCACTTTTACTCTAAAGAATAATAACCTGTTTCTTTCAGACTTTAAAATTAATAAGAGTTTTCAAAAACTAGACCATGAAATATTGTGGATTATTCTCTTAAAAAGTTATGTGTCTGTCAGTCAAACTCATATTTTCAGACATTGTTCTGTTAACTTTAAGGATTTTACACTACTGTTATAAGTTTTTTCTGCTCTACATAAATGACGTTTCATGTGTACCTTTGGCTGCTACTGATCTAGTCCTGCTGACAAGTTCTGGTTCTGAACAAGAAAATTTCTAGTCAGTAACCAGAGTCAGACAAAAGATGGATTTGAAATGTTTTTAATCACCTTTATTAATCATCAAACTTTCATTACATTATGTAAAATAAAAGACTGAATTTTTTTGTAAAATCTTAAGCAGTTTAGAAACATTAAGTATTTTCTAACCCTTTTTCTTCTGTGAAGCATATCTCAAATAATAGCATTTCCTATAATTTCCCATGGGCAAGTCCCAATAACTTACAGGTTACTAAGTGAAACAAAGTCAAATCTCATTGTTAGACCATTGTTTATATGAAAAAGTATGCTTAACCGGAAGAGTTTCATAATTATATTAGTTTTGAGTTTGAATAAAATAATCAATTAAACCTTAAATCTAATAAAAATTTATGTAACTAGGTAATTCACCAATAATGAAGTTCTTCTAATTTTAAAAAATTTCTACTTAAGAAACTGGTTTGATAAAACATATAAATATAGGTACAAATTATACAAAACATTAACATAAGCAATTTAATCATGTTGCACATTCATGTGTGATCATAAGATATTGTAATTATTATTTACATTGCAAACAAATAATTTTTTGCTTTATAATTCTGAGCCTAAAAAACTTAAAATAAAATTTACTATGTGATACAAAAAAGTAATAAATCAAATGTGAAGACTTAAGGTTTCAAGAAATATTTCAATAGGATTTCTAACCTCATATTTCCTGTAGTTAACTAATATGGTTAAGAGAAGAATGGCATCATAACCATGAATAAGTCTGGTTTGAGGGTCAGTCAAGAGCTGAAAACAAGAATTAGGGGCATATAAAAACATTGTGAGTAACAATGGAACTAAAATACTGTAAAACATGTAATCAACCCTTCACACAAAAGTCACAACTGACTGAAATAATATGATGTCTGGGATCTATGCAAAACAAAAAATTATGACATCTGCACTTTAAGCAAAACAGAAAGTTATGAGGTCTGTACTGTATACAAGATTAAAAAAAATATAATGTCTGGATGCGTGGGGTTCTAAAAAATATAGCATTTAAGTTTGAACTGTAAGCAAAGTGACATTATGGTATCTGGGTTATATGCTAAACAAACATTATGACATTTGCACTCTAAGTAAAAACAAAATAATTATTATGACTGGGCTGTAAGAACAACAAAACAATTATTATGACTGGGCTGTAAGAACACAAAACAATTATTATGACTGGGCTGTAAGAACAACAAAACAATTATTATGACTGGGCTGTAAGAACAACAAAACAATTATTATGACTGGGCTATAAGAACAACAAAACAATTATTATGACTGGGCTATAAGAACAACAAAACAATTATTATGACTGGGCTGTAAGAACAACAACACAATTACTATGCCTGGGCTGTAAGAACAACAACACAATTACTATGCCTGGGCTGTCAAAAAAAACCCAATAAATATGACATTTGGGCTCTACACAGAAATTATAATGTCTGGGCTGTAAGCAGAAATTAATTCAGCAACTCAAAATTAGTTTTGAAAAGACTGAGCAATACAAATCATCACTAGTAGTACAGTTCTAGAGTTATAGCCACATTAAGAAAATAGTCGAAACAGAATTAGAACTTCTCTTACTTGTATTATGGCTTCAAAGACACTATTCATCATTAGGTACTCGAGAAGAGTATTTTGACTAACGTTTTCAGTAGCCTAAATAAAAAGACAAAATTACAATTAATCTACACATTAAGTTATACATCATTTAGAATATGTTTCTGGTTTGTTAATAACAACCAAAAAAACATGTCCATCATTAAAAAATTGGCAGAGGTTGGGTTTAAAAAAAAAAAGAGGTATTTTTGTACATCAATGAGTTTCATCTTGCAAGCTTAAACAGGCTTTATTCACCTGTTTATAATCAAACCTGGAGACAATGTTTACTAGCAAAAAAGGATTGAGCTAACAACTTAAAACAAATCCAAATCCTGTTAAATTTTCCATGATAAACTATTGGTGACTTTTATCAGCAATAGTTTATCTTAAAGTGAGATTTTAAGAAGAGTTTATGTATATTATGCAAAAATATTAAATAAAGAGCTGAATGTTATTAGTTTTTTATTTTTGTATTAAAGTAAATAGGTATTTAATATGTAACATAGTAAGATAAAACAATTATTTGAAGCTTGAAATAAATTACAAAATCTAACTAAAACTACAAGAGAAACTTCTGTGCTATACAACTTAAGAACTCATAATCTATCAAAAACATTTATGTATATGTGCTGGGCTATGTGTACATATATTTACAGTGTACCAGTGGGGATAAAAAAAAACAAACAAACAAAACCATCAATACATAATAATACAAAAACAATAATTTGGTTATATACACCTACATATTTAACCAGAAGTTTGGGTTTGACAGGAACATATAAGCAAAGTTATTTATGCTATATTATATACATAGTGCAATTTAATCAAACAGTGTCTAAAATGAACAGTTGTCTAGAATGAAAAAAGGGTAATGTAGATTTATTTCCTAATTTTAGATGGTAATTATGAAGTCAGTCAAATCGACCAACCCTGTATAGAATTAAGGTAGAGAAAATAACAGATGAAATATAAAGTTTTTCTAAAACGAAACGTTTTATAGTTACTTCAGAGGTTATAGAGATCAAGTTTCACAATTTTCAGAAGAAGAAAAGTATTTTTAATCTTAAAATCAACATTACTTTGTATGTTGCATAGCCAGCATTCCAAAGAAAAACTTCATGACTAAATCTTTAATTAAAAAATCTTAATAGTTAATTAAAAACCTGATGTTTTGTGTAAGAAAACCTTGTAACATTTACTGATAATCTGCAAAATTTCGTGGAGATATACATACATTATCAAAAGTTATAATATGACTACTCTCATGGTTACTTTGGTGGTTACGTACTGGGTGCAATGCATCCAGACCTGTAGTCAAAGAGTTAACATAGGAATACTTTATTAGCTAGATGTCTTTTAGTCCACTAATATGTAATGAAAATGTACATAAATGAGCTGCTGTACACTACTAAGATAAAAAGAAATTCAATTCTATCATTTAACAAATGTTGCATATATTAATAAGTTGCAGTAAGTACATGCTACACACCTGTAATGTAGTCAAGATACACAGTTGTACTGTAAACAAAATTCTGCAGCAATAAGAAGTAAATACTTGCTGTACACCTGTATTCTAGCCTAAATACATGCTACACACCTGTAATGTAGTCTTAATACAAGATACACAGTTGTACTGTAAACAAGTAAATACTTGCTGTACACCTGTATTCTAGCCTAAATACATGCTACACACCTGTAATGTAGTCTTAATACAAGATACACAGTTGTACTGTAAACAAAATTCTGCAGCAATAAGAAGTAAATACTTGCTGTACACCTGTATTCTAGCCTAAATACATGCTACACATCTGTAATGTAGTCTTAATACAAGATACACAGTTGTACAGTAAACAAGAAGTAAATACTTGCTGTACACCTGTATTCTAGCCTAAATACATGCCACACACACTATGAACCTGTGCTGCAGCCAGAACTTTGCATTATTATTTTCTTTCTCAAACAGTCACCAAAGATATTGGATTAATGATGTTTACGACAAAAATTTGTCATCTACAGTTAAAATGAAGATGAAAACTTGTATATAAAAGTAATATTCTTCACACACAGTAAAAATAAACATTTTCATTAGACACAACTTATTGAAACCTGTAAAAAACTCAGCATACAAGTAAGTAAGCAGCAGATTTGTCAAGTGAACAAAAACATTATTATTGAGTATTTTTGAACATATTCTGTGGTTAAAGTCATAGACAAGAAAACATATTCTGCTCATGGCATTATTATTATAGGTTGTTATTCAAACAGTAGTGAAGCAAATGAGAGCTTTACACATTCTCATTATTCTCAATTTACTCTAGTATTAAAACCTATACTAAGTAGAAATATACCCTACAAGAAATTGATGTAAGTAAATGATGTAGTTGTTATGTTGTTTATTGGTGAGGTGTACCTCATTACTGTCACTAAGTTCTCAAGCTAACATCTAGCTGTATCACTCATGCTGTTTCATGTATCTGCTACAATATATATATATAGGTCGCAATCAACAAAAGAAGAGCAACATGTATGAGTAGGAAATGAAACATATTACTCGGGAGAACAGAAATAAACAAATATGAAGTACCTTTCTATTTCATACTTACTGTGACTAGAATCAACAGAAATTTCAGAACAACAGACTTCAGACTAGCAGGATACCCTCCTGTCAGAAATTTGGTTAAATATTCAATCAACACCTGTACCAAAGAATTATCAGAGAGAGTTAGAAATATTTTAATTTAATTCTTTTAAACCTACACTTTTAAATAATATCACAATATCATAAAAATATTGGCCAGGCACGCCAAAGTTAAGAGCTTGTATATTTACTGTGAGCTACTGACATGTTTAGCATGGTTTATTTTTCACATGGTCATGTTAAAATTCTTATAATAAAATTGCAAAATCAAATCCCTCGACATTGAGAACTGTATTGCTTTTATATACAAATGTTACAGCAAAGGCACTTAAAATAAGCTTAGTGATAACAAGTGACTATATAACTTATCCTTATTCCACTATGTGAGCATGCTTCTTTAAACAATCATACTACTGAGTACACACTGGATCAAGATCACAGCATGATTTGATATAAACAGTTCAGTTTCTTGAACTTTTTTCAGAGAAAACCATTATTTTATAGTTAAGAGTGTGCAGGCCACGTGTACAAAATACAATGTTTACCATAAATGACAACTTCCTCCATTAGACAGTGTTTTCAAAATTATTTTTGACTTAACAAACAAACTTTATTTTTTTCATGAAGTGTAATACAAGAAGAGACAGAATTTCACCGATATTACACCTAATACCGACTTACATTGTATAATATGCACTATATATGTTCACATGTTTGAATGTTGAAACAATTCTTAAAAATCACAAAAATAATATTTCATGTGCACATAGCTAACGTAAATTCCTAGTTTTGTTGAAAATAGTTTCCCTGACTTTTTCTAGTTTCTTTAAATGTTTTATATGTAATCTGTTTGTAGTTCCCAATTTTTTACTATATTTTAACAGTCAGTGTACATTCATAAAAATAACTGTTTTTTGACAACTAACAGCCAATAATAAGCATTTATTTTCAACATCTACACCTATATGTGCCCTTTCAATAATTTATAAGATGAATTCAGACTTCAGCATACATAAACACTGCCTTTTGGTGCACTTTTATCACTTTCTTTCTTTCTACAAACTCAATACTCTGAATCAAGGAAAGTGATTAAAAGAAAATCATTGCTTTTGTTTTTGTAAAGGAAGGTGTAATTTAAATCAGGTGAAAACATTTTTTTCCTGTGATGTTCTGAAAATGGGTATAATGATTCATATATCCCTTTCATACATTCAATGATTTAATCATTATTCCTGTCAACATGTTTTACACATGCTTTGAATAAAAAAAGAAGTTCCATATTTTTTGTTTTAATGTTTAATTGAAAACATTTATTTGAATCATTTCATCCAGTTTGTAATAAATTTGTCTGAATGAATTGAAATTTTCAACTTGAATAGAATCAGGCTAGACAGAAAAGTCAGAGACCCTTATGGTTCGAGTATAGCCATCCTCAATTTTGAACTACTGACTAACAACCCATCCCCAAAAGACCTTAGTCTGCTTCTATAAACCTAACAGTGGAAATTAACCATCACTTTTGTAACATATCTACATTTGAAGTTGCATAGTGTGTTTGGCAGCATCACACACTGAATCCTAGGCCCCTCAGTTCACAACCCAACACACTAACAACTAGGCCATATCCAGTCCTTTGTGTGAGAAACAACTGTTGAAATAGTACAATTAATGGACAGATATTCACTTAAAAACAAAATGTTTTAAACATGTATATTGTACCACTTTACAAATTCAAATGATCCATTCCTAATATAATTTAAATATAGTCAACACAAAGGGTATTCCATGTCAACATAATGTCTGAACTGCATCGTGTTTTCTCCAATACTAGCAGAGCAAGTGATTTGATAGGGTTTTAATCAATCTGATATGCAAGATCTTCACCTTATGCATTCAATATGTTTTATCAATCCACAAAATACTGTCGCAAGTTTGAAAAATACCAGAGAAAAATAACTTGCTCTTATCATTAGTTTTATTTTATAAAATCAATAAACATACTCTAAACTATGTTCTATTAATTAAAAATTCTAACTCTGACAATCAACATTATTGATAATAAATGAAGAAGCATTTTTCTAGCTAGTGTTAAAGTTAAGTATCTTGTGTATATACACAATATGAACAGAAACAAAGAATGACTTGATATTTAAAAAATTAGTAAAATAAAATAAAACTAAACTGATAAAAGGAATTAAAAGTTTCAGAATTCCTCGCAAAATATTTGTCAAACTTGACAATAGAAGGAAAACTGTTTACACTTTCTAGTGATTCAAAATTTACAAAAACTAATATTAAATCTTTAAAGTTTATTCTTGTTGAAAGGGAGATTTTATACAATGTAGTAAGTGTGTTATTTTATCACACTAAGACTGATAATATTTATAATACTTGTAATATTATATGACAATCCAAAATTTATGGCAGGAATTTAGGTTTAATATCTTTCAAGCCTCAAAAGGATCTTTGAGGCTTGAAAGATAACCCAGGATGTTCAGAATCTTTTGTTTCTCCTCACCCACAAGAAAAATTGTAAAGGCCACACGAGTTTGAATGAGAGCTAGCCTCTGGGCTTAATGAGTTATTAAAGCACGCTTTTTGAGGTGCATGAAAATGTGGCAGGTGCTGTCTCAAGTGGGAGAGCTGGAAAGAAGCTGTTTAGTTGTCAGAGCAGGAGCATGTGTAGTTGTTGACACACATGATGATGATGTTAGGCAGAAGGTAAACCTCGAGATGAGTGAATGAGGAAAAGAAAGGCAGAACCACCAATCAAGTTCCTGTTTGGGCTGTTGCTAATATTTACATTCTTATACAGTTTGTTGATTGTTTTAAATAAACTATTCCAGTGAAATGAAGTAAAACCAAATAAGAATCGTGTAGACTTACAAGATAAATGGCCCTTTTTAGGGGGGCTGTATTATATGACAGTAACATTGGTAATATCTATAATAGGGGTGATATTACCTGACAGTTGTACTGGGAATACTTATAATGGGAGTGATGACAGTAACACTGGTAATCTTACTTTAATGGATGTAGCATGCATGTGTGTATCTATCTATCTATCTATGTATGTGACCAAAATAATAAACACAATGTAGTGCAATCTATTGAATGGTACCATAAAAAAAATCCATAAAAAAATTCCCACTTTGGGTATTCAAGAGTCAGACAATTAGAAAAATAACTATGCTATGTGCAACAACCATTTCTTTATCACAAAACACAATTTTAAATAAAAGTACTCTCCTCACAACAATAACATGACTTTCACTAGGCTTGTACATGAGAGTTTGATTATATCTTTATTGATGTAATTTGTGAAAATAGTAATAAAAATGGAGTTTATAAAAAACTGTTATTTTTTTCAATAAAGGGTATCACTTTTAACATAAAAACATTACAGTTTATATCAGCACAATCCAAACACTTTTCCCATGCAGTACTTCGATGAAAAATCCTTTTTAAAAAATGTTCACATTTTATACCTTTTTTTCAATAAGGTATAAATACTACAATTAATAATTACTAGCACAAACAGTCACCAGTAGGGTGGCATTTCTGATAGTATATATAATACATGTGATGTTACATCACACTGACATTGATATTTTTATTACATTATCATTTATGGGTTTCCAGTAAGATATGTATTATTACATTCCATTTACATGTGTTCCCTGTTTGTTGTAGGCTAATGCTAATGAGCTTTTCGCTCAATATCAGAGCTAATCAGACCAGATGGATTACAACATACAAGGTATTAATTGAAATACTACTTATATAACTCATTTAAAATTACATATTGTCTGTTTTTTGCTATTCAAAACTTCAAATAAATATCACAAATACCTGCATCTGGGACTCTGCAACATCAAAGCCCACTAATAGGTTGATGACATCAAAGCCAAAATCTCCATGAGTTTTCTTGTAAACACCTCTCACCAATGCACAAAGAGTCTGTACAGAAGTAAAACAGTAATTTATTAATGAAGTGATAACAAGCATAACATATCATTAGAAACTGTCCCATTCAATTAGAACCTTTTAAATTAGATTCTGAAGTATATTTTTTATTATCTATAAATGTTTAAAATTTATTTTCGTTATAACATTGTCTTTGTAAAAAACATACATCTAACTATATCTTAATAGTTTAGATGTTATTTTACACACTTACAACATTAAAGACAGGAAATTATTTGTTAATGTGTTTCTGTTATATGGAACAATACTGAACCTAACATACAGGTATTTAATCTCTTCAAAAATGACAGATCTATGGATCTACTATTTCAAGCAATTTGTTAAAGGTGAAATGAGATATTGTGTTGAAGTTTGGGAAAAAAAAATGGAGGAGAAGTTGATCAGGATAGTGGTGAACTGTGCATTGTGAAGTGAGGAAAATATTAAAATTAAATGAACTGTAGCATACACAATGAACAGTCGGACAAAGAATACATGAACAAGGCCTGGACTTCATCACTGAGTCTTGGCAGTTTTAAAATCAGAAACAAACTACTTTCCTCAAAAGTCAGTATGAATCTCTTCTGAAAATTGCCAAACAGTATTCACAATAAACTTTCTGTAGCTGACCAATTATGAAACATAAAATGGAATGCAGAATTATCTCTGCTTCATGTGACAATCTGAAAACAATCCTCTACACACCAGGCAAAACACAATACAATGCAATTATCCAAGGAAACAGCAGATAAGATCCTTCACCAGTCTACAAGGAGTAACATCTCAGGTTGAATTTATCATATGACCTCAAACAGACTTACAATATTCCAAGTTAGAACTTGGAAAGTTAAAAAACATTTTGTGAATGTGAAATACAAAGTATGGAAAAGTGAGGTACATAGTTACATATATGTAGATTATAACAGAATAATTACTTTTCCCACACAGCTTTACAAAAGAAATTCAGATTCTGACTCAGTTTAGTAAAACTCAATACTATAAAGGTGCAACAGTGTAAAATAAATAATGAGCCTACCCCTTCCCAAAAGGCATTAAAGAAACAAATATATTGATAACATTAGGCAAAGCTTAAGACTCTTTGTAAAATCTTAAAAAATTGCAGAATTATAAGAATAATCTAAAGCTACTTTAGCAGGCATTTAAAAATATAGCAATGTTGGATATATCCAAAATGTTCTTATTTGAGTAGTCACAGAAGTCTGAGCTCAGAAATATTTTACAAAAATTTTTCTGTTTGGTTACATTTCTCATAAATGAAAGTTATCATAAAATCTATCATGATACTTAGTTCTCATCTCCAAGTGCAACGAGACTGAAGCTATGAAATTAGTCTGAATTCTTACTTTTGTAATAAAACTGGACATCATACAAGCCAACTGGGAAGTCTGATACTACCTTTCAGAACACCATGAAAATAGAATGGGTATATTTCAAGTAAAGTGTAATATTACATTCAACAATTGTTATGTAAGGTGACAAAAGTTTTAGTTTTTTTTCATTAATTAATATATAGTATTACACAGCTTTACATGTAACAGTATAGTTCAAACCACTGATAGAAAACTGTGAATATTTGTAATCTACCAATAAGTAAATACAGACCCAGAAATATAGTTAGAGCCTTGTAAAGGCCATAAATAAAAAAAGTCATGCCATGAATGAAAGGATCCCAAAAATTAACCATAGTTCCATGAGGTTGCACATTTGAATGTTGGGAAGGCAATCAACGTCGGCAAGAAATCACCAGGTCACTTGCAATACTTCTGTCCATTGAATAGGGTGACAACTGACAATGCAGTTGCAGTCACATCAGAAAAGAGCAGTTTTTGTATGGCTCAGGTTTCCAAAACTAATCAAATGGGCTTTTCATGTTGCATGGAGAAAATTGAAAAATGACATCTCAAATGGTCACTACTATTGCGAGGCAGGTGTAAGTGTGCCCCAATACCATCAAAAGTTATCTTCATAGTCTGGACTAATGACAGAATAGCTAGATGGAAGTTACTCCTCACTTCAAGCAATATTGTACATTTACACCAGTGTTATTACAAAGGTTATCATACCCTCTGGTCTTTTGGGATATACCATTTTTACTGATGAATCTATCTTTGAAGAATTCTCGGTCAGTGGATGCAGCTGAATTTGGTAACCTACCTCCACGAAACTTTCAATGAACCATTTGCAAGCCATAATAAATTATGGCAGTATTTTTTTTTATTGGTTTGGAGTGTAATTTTGGCAACTGGATGATCATGGTGGTATTTGAGGGGACAGTCACTGCTTCTTGACACCCACAACTCTTGAGCAAGGCCTTCTCCCTATTTATACTAATGATGAACTCACAATGGGCATATATATATAGAGCCAAGGCAGATGGTATGAGTGCTTTGTGTTATCCTCCAAAATTTGGGGAAAAAAGTACACCCTGGGAGGCATCACCAGCCACTTGGCAGTATCCTATAAGCGAGTGTTGTGAAAAAAAAGGAAAGATACACACCAGAAAAGCAACAGTGGGTAGACTGTAGAATGGCAGAGGCATGTGGTGAAGATAGTGGGTGACAAAGATGTGAATAGTAGTCCACTTGCCTGCTTGAAAGAACTTGTCCAGTGGCTGTTGGAAATGAATGACAAGATAATGAATGAAGTGATGAATCTGATGTTAAGGATTAAGAACAGAACAAGAGCATCCACCCTCAATGAGGAGTAGATTAAACATAGAATCTGAATCCAACCTGTAAGAGTTAAAAGAGTAATTTCAATGAAGGAAGAAAAAATCCCAAGGAATGAAGAGTCAGTAATGGGAACTTAGAAAGTTCAAGGTATGAGATAAGTATCAATGAAAGGCACAAACAGGGCACAATAGCCTGTCCATGTCCAAACAACCATAGAGGTGAGAAAGAGAATTAGAAGACAAAGAGTGGTAACCTTCCTGACCAGCCAATGTCTTAGGGAAGAAGAACTAATTAGGATACACAAGAATATAAACGTAATAGGAGAGGGTAAGGGAAAAACAATAGCATAACTATTTGAATGATGGCAATCACAAGTGAGAAGTAACTGAAATTTGTCTTGAGAGAATGTGGAATAGGTTGTAGATTGCAAACAACTTAAAATGTTCATGGTTAAGGGCAAATAGAATGACTGTCAGGTCTCAGTCAGGCATAGAAGTGGGGCAAGGGGTCTATGATGAAGGAAGAAATAGAACAAGGTGGAGAGAAATGGGGAGGAAACCTCCTACAGTAACGAGAAAGACAAAATGTTGTTTACAAGTCCACAAGATAACTGGCAATGGTGGAGACAGTTGATACACAGTCGAACAGACAAGCAAAGAAAGATGAGAGATAGTCGATGGTACGTCAGCAAGGAGGAAGGTGACAATAGATGGACCAATATTGAAAGATGTACCACCTATCAGGTAGATGGACAAATAGGAAGGGCAACGGGAATGAGAAAGGAATAAGACTACATAATATGGGAGTCCAGTTCTGTTGTTGAGGGACTGGACCATCCAAAATGTGAAGTAGGAGGGAAAAAAATCCCTTGCTGGAACAAAGAAGTGCGAGTTCAAATTCGATGACGAGAAACCCACTTTGAGACTAAGAATGGCTGGAGACGGCTTGAATGGGTAATGAAGAAAAACGTTATGTTAAACTTATATTAAAATTTTTCTTCATTATCCATTCAAGCCATCTCCAGCCATTATTAAAGAAGTGTGAGGTTGAAGTAAGAAAGAGGGTATAGTGGTAGGGAAAGAGACGGCTTGGTTTTCAGATGGTGCAGAAGGGAAAATGTAGGTTGAGCCAGCCAGAGGGGTGCCACCAATAGGACATAATAAGGAAAGTTGTGAACCAAGACCAGAGCCCAAGATAAAAGAAGGAGAGGTAGGTATGCATAAAGGAAAGGTGAGACCAGTCCTGGCTGATAGCATAGACAGCCAGGGTTGAGAGATAGGGAACAGGAGACCAAAAGAAAGGAACCTTGTAATTGAAAGGGGTAGCAAGACATCAATGAGTGGAGTTTCCAACAGAGAACATGGTTCATCTGAGAAAGGCTATCTGCTAGGTTCATAGTGTCTGATACATGGCAGGCAATAAGACAAACCCATTGAGAAATGGCCCAATAAAGAAGGTACAGGATTTGAAAGTAAAGGGTACTGGATAGGTTACCCTCATAGCAGTTGACATAGGAAACAACCATATAGTTGTTGGAATGGATTATAACAAAATGATCCACAAGGAGGGGCAAGAATTGGAAGCATGCCCAACAGACTGCCAGAGGTCTAAATGTGTTACTTTTCCTTTTATTCAACACAAATTTGTTAAGGGGCTATCTCTAGAAAAAAAATTACAATTGTATTTTTGCAGCATAACTTCAACTTGAATGCAAAAATATCTAATATGTTCTACACATGCAAGCAACTAAAGAATGCATAATAATGTAACATATACCCTAATAATTATAAATTTACATAAGCACATCACTTTTCAAAAATGATAATGACCTCCTAGTTTTAATTTATTTTTATTCAAAGTGTTTCTTATTTCTATCCCAAGATGTTTTGAGATTATGTTACGTACTGTATACAGATCAATCACTAATTTATCTGAATTATTTTGGCATCCATTCTTGACTTTTGTGAATAGTAACAAACTCATCAATTTTGGAAAAGAACCATTCCTATTTTGTTAATTTTCTTCAAAAAAAGCTGTTCTAAACGACTTTGCAACTAACAGAAATGTAATTTCAAATGACAAGGCATAAAAATTTCCCAAGATCCCACTTAAATAAAGCTCACCTGAAGTGCATTAACTATGCGAATTTGATGATCAGCCTTCAAAGCACAGACACTGTGGTAGAACAAGTTGTTGACAGGATCCTAGTAAAGCAGTCATTATTATTCACAACTAAGACACATAGTATCTGATATGTACTGCACAAATCATAAACATAACAAATAAGATCAAGAATGATCATATTTAAACAACTTTATTTGATTATCATGACATCGGGTAGTTGTGTTCTCCAATCACACTTATGACAGTTCAGTGATATATCTTCTGTCACATGATGTTTACTGCTTCTTATGTGATACATAAAGCAGTACAGGTTGCAAAACCTTTTACATAATAATTATTGTTTACACAAGAATTATGGTAGTATGTTCCTGTTATACTGCATGCTGCTATTATTTAATGTGTATGAGTTAAAGATTAAGAAAACAAATTAATAAATGTGAAGCCCAATATGTCATTCGATTTACCACTTGTCACTCAGTTATTCAGAGAATTTTATCCCTCATAAATAACCCTTGACAAAGGCAAATCAAAAGAATGAGACTAAGCTACATTTATTGGTGGAGTGTAAGTTATATGTATGGTGTTTTGAGGTTATTGTGAATAAAAGATGTTGCAAAACTCCATACATTAATTTAAAAAATTATGTTTGTACAATCTCATAAGTCAAATTAAAAAAACTATAGTTATAATGCCTTGTTTTTGTTTATTACATGAGCACCATTTAGACTGAATTTTTCATTTTAAATAAGATCTATCACTCTTAGAGCTTTAATATAAATTAAATTTTAAAATCTAAATATCTGATATCAGAAAAAAAAATTAATTGTATAATACTTATATTTAACCTCCATATTTTGTTGAAACTATCTGATATCAATATAGGCACTAAGTTATATAGGGTAATTCCCACACTAAATAAATGCACCACAAAATATCTAAAACTTTGACTACGAAATCACAAAAAATATCAGTCATATTCTCAGTCATGTCCGGTGTTTATAGATACATGTTATAATAATTTTCTTTGAAAAAAAAAATGAATGTCTTACTTTTTTCTATAACTTATTTAAAATCTTTCTTATAAACTAGTCTGTTACACTAATCCAAAGTCCCATTAAATCTGTTCACTCATACAGCACCATTCCAACTCAATATGGCCTAATTATAATTTCTTTTGTCTAACAACATTTTAAAGTTGGTTTGATGATTCATATACTGAATGTTACACTTTAAATAACTAATCGCTGTATGTTACTCATACAATGTTTTTAGACAACTGAAATCCCAATTTTGCAATAATAAAAACATCTCTACAGTTTTATATTACCAACCTATAAAATTATATTAATGAAAACATATGCTAGTACAAATACCAAGTTCCTTTGTTTCAAAAAGATTACTTAAATTAACAACAAAACAGCTTAAGAAAAGATGTTAATTACATTCAATATTTATGTCATGATGTTGATTCATATTTATTTCACAATATTACAAGTTATAATGGTAAAAAATATATATATTTTTTATTGTCAATTAAAATTTCTTCTAGGCACTTATCTGGGTGTAAGACGTACATTTTACAATAAAACATACTTGTTGAATGGATAAAAATTACAATATTAAATAATGATTTGTAATCAGTACTTCATGTTGTACAGTTTTCTCCACTTCTGACAGATATATTTTCCTTTATTTTTTATTTATTTATTTTTTCTTTCTTTAACAACTAGATCATATATTCTTAATATTA